TTTTTTTTTTTTTTTTTTTTTTAACAGATGGGTTTTCACCATGATGGCCAGGCTGGTCTTGAACTCCTGACCTCAGGTGATCCACCCACCTCGGCCTCCCAAAGTGCTAGGGTTACAGGTGTGAGCCACCGCACCCGGCCTATTTCCTTTCTTTTCTTTTGCTATAAAATGGTTCTGAAAGAAATGTCTTGAATGAGTGAGCAAGTGAGTACATTCAGTCCAAAGTACAAGTAGGTGTGCAGGAAAATAGTGCATACTTGTGGAAAGACTGGAGGAATACGTACTGGATGAGGAATGCTCCAGGGAAGAATTTCCTGTAACTTTGGTGATTTCTTTTTTTTTTTTTTGAGATGGAGTCTCGTTCCATCGCCCAGGCTGGAGTGCAGTGTCATGATCTCAGCTCACTGCCACCTCCGCTTACCAGGTTCAGGCGATTCTCCTGCCTCAGCCTCCTTAGTAGCTGAGACTACAGGTGCATGCCACCACACCCAGCTAATTTTTTGTATTTTTAGTAGAGATGGGGTTTCATTGTGTTGGCCAGGCTGGTCTCAAAATCCTAAGCTCAGGTGATCCACGTGCCTTGGCCTCCCAAAGTGTTGGGATTACAGGTATGAGCCACCCTGATTTCTAAAGATGTGTTTTTGGGTACTTTGGTAGGCAAGTGGCCCATGGCTCATCATTCCCAGGATTCCTGGCTGGGGAAGGACATCTTTGTGAAGCCCTGGGTTCCTTCCCACCCACTCCTACTCTGTCTAAATTCTAATGACACTCCTTTGGGTTATCATCATCTTCCTTCTTCCATTCTAAAGTCAGGGAGTTCAGTGCATGCTTACAAACCCTTTTGGAGCCAAGCCTTGTCCTGGACATCATGAGCCCTGAGATGTCCACAGCTCAACACTATCCTGGCTAAGAAAGACAGAGCTAAGGAAAGTCCAGCTTTGTCCTAGGAGCCCCAGTCTAGTACACATGACCTGAGAACTCACTGTATGCAGCTGTGAAGGATTAGTGCTTAGGAGGCAGACAGACCTGTAAGGACTGCAGAATCATGGAAGGATGAGACTTCTTTCCAGAGGAGCAGCAGAGTTGGAGTCAGAGCTAAGTTCAAGTTGTAGATCTGCTACTTTTTATATCTTGCCTAAGTTGTTTAACTCTTCGTGCCTCAATTCCTTGTCTATGACATGGGCACAATACTTTGTATTTTGTTTTGTTTTGATTTTTTGAGATGGAGTCTCACTCTGTCACCCAGGCTGGAGTGCAGTGGTGCAATCTTGGCTCACTGCAATCTCTGCTTCCCGGGTTCAAGCAATTCTCTTTCCTCAGCCTCCCAGGTAGCTGGGATTACAGGTTTCTGCCACCATGCCTGGCTAATTTTTGTGTTTTTAGTAGAGACGGGTTTTCACCATGTTGGCCGGGCTGGTCTTGAACTCCTGACATTAATTAAGTGATCTGTCTGCCTCTGCCTCCTAAAGTGCTGGGATTACAGATGTGAGCCACCACTTCCAGCCAATACTTTGTATTTTGTAAAGTGGTTGTGAAGATCAAAAAGGTAATGGAATTTGAAAAGAACTGGGCACAGGATTGGTCCATAGTAAGCACTCAGTAAATGTCCATTCCCTTCTTTTCCTGTGACTTGGTAAGGAAGGGTGAGGTTTGTAAATCCATTTAATTGGATTTTTAGAATTCCTGTGAGAATACTTTTGGCTTTTAAAGAGAGCATTTAGTCTAATGCATTTAATGAATTTACTGATATATTCAGATTTTTTTTTTTTTTTTTGAGATGGAGTCTTGCTCTGTCGTCCAGGCTAGAGTGCAGTGGCGTGATCTCGACTCACTGCAGCCTCCGCCTCCTGGGTTCAAGCAATTCTCGTGCCTCAGCCTTCCTAGTAGTTGGGACTACAGACGTGTGTCACCACACCTGGCTAACTTTTGCATTTTTAGTAGAGACAAGGTTTTATCATGTTGGTCAGGCTGGTCTCAAACTCCAGACCTCAGGTGATCTGCCCACCTCAGCCTCCCGAAGTTTTGGGGTTACAGGTGTGAGCCACCTCACCTGGCCCAATTTTCCTACTATACCAGTTTGAAAATTAAATTCTCTTTTTCTATTAGTATTATTTTAGTGATCTCCCTAGCGATTACCATGTGCATTCTTTTTTTTTCTTTTTTTGAGACAGAGTCTTGCCCTATTGCCCAGGCTGGAGTGTACTGGTGCCATCTCAGCTCACTGCAACCTCCACCTCCTGGGTTCAAGCAATTTGCCTGCCTCAGCCACCCTAGCAGCTCAGACTACAGGCACCCACCACCATGACCAGCTAATTTTTGTATTTTTTAGTAGAGACGAAGTTTCACCATATTGGCCAGGCTGATCTCGAACCCCTGACCTTGTGATCTGCCCACTTTGGCCTCCCAAAGTGCTGGGATTACAGGATAAGCCACCGTGCCCAGCCAGCCACATGCATTCTTTTTTTTTTTTTTTTTGTTACGGAGTTTTTTTCTTGTTTCCCAGGCTGGAGTGCAATGGCGCAATCTCGGCTCACCGCAACCTCCGCCTCCTGAGTTCAGGCAATTCTCCTGCCTCAGCCTCCTGAGTAGCTGGAATTACAGGCACACGCCACCATGCCCAGCTAATTTTTTGTAGTTTTAGTAGAGATGGGGTTTCATCATGTTGACCAGGATGGTCTCGATCTCTTGACCTTGTGATCCACCCGCCTCGGCCTCCCAAAGTGCAGGGATTACAGGCTTGAGCCACCGCGCCCGGCTACATGCATTCTTAACTTACCAAAGTGTCCTGCTAATAAATACCTTTACAGGAAGGATAGTTTCCTGAGATGAAGACAGGAAGAGAGAACATTCCAGGCTAGATGAACGGAGAAACAAGCAGATGAACAGGGGAAGATTTAATTGCTATTTGAGTCAGAGTGGTGCTAGAGCAAGATGAGTGAGCTGGGAGTGGGTGGTTTAAAACCATCCAGGAAGGATGTCTTGGTCATGAAAAAGATCTTTGAGAAGAACAGGAATAACTCCTCCTCAACCCAGGAAAAGCAGTGATTTTCCTGAAACTTCCCAGGAGGCAGTGGCAGAGTTTGGTCTGAAGCTAGATGTCTTTAGCAGTCTATATCCCTGCCTCTACACCTACCCTAGCCATGCTCACTCTGTCCCCTTTCTAGGAATTCCTCAATCTCTGCTCACCTAACTAAATACCGCCCATTCTTCAAAACCTAGTTCCATTAAATCAATCCAACACATATTTTCTTTTTATCTTGGTATTTTTTATTTTTATTTTGTTATTATTATTATTATTTTTGAGATGGAGTCTTGCTGTGTCGCCCAGCTGGAGTACAGTGGTGCAATCTCGGCTCTCTGCAACCTCTACCGCCTGGGTTCAAGAAATTCCCCTCTCTCAGCCTCCCGAATAGCTGGGACTACAGAATTAAAGAATTAGTCTAAATAATTAGAGCACCTCAAGGTTTGGGCATTGGGGGTGGTCTAGAGGCAGGGAGGGGGACCCAGCCTTAGGGAATGATACTTAAGGCCAAGGGAACAGACAAGGTGTTAAGAGAGGGAACAATGGCCAGGAGCAGACACCCCTGGTTTGGGGCTAGACAAAGAGGATGATATGAAGCCCTGAAGCAGAAAACCTGAATCTAGTTGCCAAAATTAGAGGGAAGTGGTACTTTTTGCAAAGTTTTACTGATCCATTTGCCCTGGACCTTAAAGAGCAGGATAGGGGAGAATTCAAAATCAAGAAAAATAATTTTTAGAATAAGACACACACTGTGTACACATTCTCTCCAGACTTCAGAGCCCCTCAGAGTGCAACTGAGGTATCTCTGGGTTCTCCATCATTGCTTCACCTGAGGCCTGTCACAGAGAGGGCCTAGGCTGGGTGAATGAACAAAAGTGAATGCATGAAAAAGAGCTCTGGCAAATTAATCAACAAATACTAAGTGGCATTAACAGCATATAGTGGATTATGGGAATTATTTCAGGAATGAGACTTGAGTCCTGGTTCTGACATTTATTATCTGTGTAAGTAGGTAACTTGGTTTCCCTGTTTTCCATTGGCAAAATGAGGATATTAATAGTATCTACTGGTGGGTGTGGTGGCTCATGCCTGTAATCTCAGCATTTTGGGAGGCTGAAGTGGATGGATCACCGAATTCAAGACCAGCCTGACCAACATGGTTAAACCCTGTTTGTACTACAAATACAAAAATTATCTGGGCATAGTGGCATGCACCTGTAGTCCCAGCTACTCAGGAGACTGAGACAGGAGAATTGCTTGAACTCAGGAGGCCGAGGTTGCAATGAGCCGAGATCACAGCACTGCACTTCAGCCGGGGTGACAGAGCAAGACTCCGTCTCAATAAATAAATAAACAAATAAACAAATAAATAAAAGTACCTCGCAGGGTTTTTATGAGGATGAAATAAATGAGATAACATGAAAAGTAACAGTGCCTGGGACATACTGGGTGCTGAGAATGTGTTATTGCTGTGAGGATTAAAGTGGGAAAGTGCGATGGTAGCTATGGCTAGCTTAGAGGCTCTCCACCTGCTGCAGGTGCTCTGACAGCCCCACAGTGTGCTTGCAGAAGGGATTCTTGATCCCTTCACCCTCCTTCCCTGTTGAGGTAGGATTGTCTTTGCAAAGGGAACCAAGGGTCCCCCTCTAGTTGTTTTATGGGTCAGTCAGGGTCAGGGTACGGAGGGAACTCTAGCAGCTGGTTTTTGGAGATCGATCCTCTCTCATTGTGGCGAGACCCAAGGCTGGTGGCTGGAGATCCTCTTTCTGCCTTATGTGGAACAGACAGGGCGCCCTCTCCTGATCAAAGGCGGGAACAGCACTAGGTCAGAGTTTCTGGGATGGGCCTCACCGGGTCTCGCTGCCTGCAAAGGTGCTCTTCCCATTGCTGAAATGTCCCCAACCGTCCTGGCAAGCAAAGTCTAGGGGAAAGCTGGGAGGAAACTGGCTTAATGTTTTAGAAGGGCGAGGCTGGATAATTCGGTTAGAATGGAGGTGCGGGGCAGGAGAGACGGGCGGATGAGAAAGAGAAATCGAGCCCCTATTGAATTAATTTTGTGTTCTTTCAACAGGTGATGGAACGCAGCTGAGAGGTAAGGCGACAAGGAGGCCTATCCAACATGCTAAACCCAGGTGTCCAGAGCCCTTCCTGCTGCCCTCACACAGCCGAAATTATTGGGGGCAGACTCGGGCTATAGAGCATGGCTAGAGGACACGCCAGATTTAGGGGGAGAGCCGGGGGGTCGGGGGTCTCCAGAAGCGGGGAGGAGCCAGCGGAGGATCCGGGTGCAGTTTCCTCTCTAAGTTCCGCCCCGAGAGCGCCGGCCCCGCCCCCGCCGTTCGCGCTCCGACCAGCCCGCGGAGGCAGCCCTCGACCCCGGCCCTCCCGGGACCCCGGGTTCCGCCGGCAATCTCGTCACTGCCGCCTCGGTGAGTATGGGCGTGGGTGTGCTGGGCCGCCGCGTAGCCCCAGTCGGGGGAGCTTGGCCGCGCGGTCCGGCCTCTGCAGGGCTGGGCCCCATGCTCTGGGAGTCCTGGTGCCTGCCCTCCTATATTACACACTGTTTCGCGGGAACTGCTGCTGTTTGGACTTGGCCGAGCTGGCCCCGTTCTCCCTTGCCAGCCTGGGGCCGGGTGTGCAGGGGTTTATCTCTCTTTTTATTCCGTGGAGCCTCCTGGTCAGGAGTCCTAGGTGGGGAAGATGGGACCCCGGGAGTGGGAACCCCATCGACTAGTTTTGAATGGCAGCTCTGCCATTTATTAGCCTTGGCCTTGAGTAAGTGTTTTGAACCTCTCTGAGCCTCAGTTTCCTCATCTGTAAAATGGAAATATACAGGCTGTAGCACCTGCTTCATAGAATTACAGTGAGGATTAAAAGGGCCAATGTATATCAAGTACATAGCAGGGGGCCTGGTATTCCGTAGGTACTCAGTAAATGTGGATTCAGACTCGAGGCTGAGAAGATCTCTAGGGACTTTGGAGCTTAGGTAGCTCCAAAGCAATTTTCAGCTAAGTAGTACCTGTGAGGAAGGTAGAGCTGTCTGCAGGCTGAACAACTGCCCTTCAGCTCCACCCTGAGGTGTGGAGTAGAATGACCAAGTTGAAAGGACCTTAGAAGTAATCTGAACATTTGATTCTCATGTTGCAGAACTGTGGAAACAAATCCTGAGTGGTTAAATGGCTTGCCCAAGGTCACACAGCTAAATGGGAGGCCAGGCATACCTCCAAGCATTGGAACAGACTGTCCTTTGAAACTCCTCATCAACCCCTGATTTGGGCAGTGCCTCTTCATTCCCTGAAGATCTAGTCTTCAATTTGGGAATCCTAGTGGTTCCTGAGGGATCTAGAGCTGCAGCCTTCAGGGCGGGATGTTGGGAGGGAACACTAGTGCTACTGCAACTGCAGAGTCTGGGTTTGGGCTGAGTGAGGAAGATGTTCTCCGTCTAGAGCCTTAAGAGACTTAAGAGTCCATTTAGGGATGATCCAGGGAAGGTGTTTTTTTTGTTTTGTTTTGTTTTTCTGGGAGGGTCACCAGCTCCCTGGGGAGATCCTTATTACCCCAAAAAGGGAGAGAGGAACTTGAGCAATTGGAGTAGGCTGCTTGATCAGGCCTGGCAGCTGGAAGGAAATGGGTGAGAATGTAGAGGCGTAGCCACCTGGTGTGTTCTGGAATGCCAGGATGCCAACCTAACTGAGAAAAGGGCTCTTTTTGAGGGTGGAGCTAAAGGGGAGAGTCCTGTGGGAGGGGCCAGGAAGAGCTGGGACTTGATTTGACAAGGCCTTTGAGCCCAGAAGGGCATGTTCTTTATGTGTCTGGAGCCAGCCCTAGTTTAGCAACAATAAGCCAACGTTCCAGGGATGGCTTTCCCTCCCGCTCAGCATAGGGCTTTGAGGAAGAGCCTTTCTCTCACTGAGTGTCTTGATTTCTCTATCTTTACAATGGGAATAGGACTAATTGGCTTATCTATGTAGAATTTGTTTTTTCCTTTTTTTCACCTCCTGTGAACAGGTGCTTCTTCTGCTTCTCTCACTCTAGTCCAAACCAGACCTTTCTGTCTCAAACTCTGATCCAGAGAGGAAGGGGTCAAGGAAGGCCAGAGTTGCAGTGTGTAACTCTTCTGGGTCACATATGTATCTGCTTGCTCTGTGATCCTGAGCAGATTCCTGCCCCAACTTTCTCTTTTGTACGCTATGGGGATCTGGGCTAGGATTGTTGGTATACACTTAGTTATTATATAACTAATAAATATATTAGTTATATAATATATATATTAGTTATATATTATATAACTGACCATAGCTACCCTTATCTAAGGGAGAAATCACAGTCCTCAGGAACCCTCATCTGTTCACAGGAGGGTGGCAGACAGCCCCCTGGGCACTGGGAAGCTTCCAGAAGCTGACCAAGCAGCTCTTTCCAACAAACAGCAAGCCCAGGCTAGCACCAGACCTGATTCTGCAAAGCCTTTCACCCTCAGGGCACGTGAGGGAGCAGGCTGGGACAAGCAGGGAGCTCAGGGTTCTGTCAGCTTCCATGGAATCCCTGTTGCTGTGGGCTGTGGTGTAGGCATCCAGGGCACACAGAGCCTGGGAGGGGACTGAAGGTGCAGGAGGGCCCCGGGCCAGTGGGGAAGCAATAAAAAGCTGTTGAGAGGCCCTGCAGCCTGGAGGCTAGGCCTAAGGCCTCCTCCTGGGGGAGGAGATGGGCCATTTCATCCACTGGTAGGTTTTAGGCTGTTTTTTTTTTGAGACAGAGTTTCACTCTTGTTACCCAGGCTGGAGTGCAATGGCATGATCTCAGCTCACTACAACCTCCCCCTCCTGGATTCAAGCGATTCTCCTGCCTCAGCCTCCCAAGTAGCTGAGATTACAGGCACCTGCCACACACCTAGCTAATTTTTGTATTTTTAGTAGAGATGGGATTTCACCATGTTGGCCAGGCTGGTCTCCCAACTCCCGACCTCAGGTGATCCACCCATCTCAGCCTCCCAAAGTGCTGGGATTGCAGGGTTGAGCCACCATGTCGGCTTAGGGTTGGTTCTTGAAATAAGGAGAGACTAGTTAAAGCAGCTCCTGTAGTCCTAAGCCTGTCAAGCTAGGTAGAGAGGAGTGAGGAGAAGCTCTCCCAATCCATTCAAGCTTCATCCTAGCACAGATTTGGTTCATTGTCTTCCCTCTGAAATTGAGGTGTAATGTTGACTTGGGATTCTGAGTCAGTTTTCCTCATCCAGGGCAGAGCTATCCAAGTTTAGGTGACTTCCTCCTCAGACTCCCCACCCTATAGCATACAGCTCAGTTTAGGACTGAGCGCAAGGGCTGACTTCATCACTGAGTCCCAGCCTTGCTGCCTGGGGCCCTGACAGCATGCCACTCCGTCCCCAGGTCTGACAAGATGTACCAGGTCCCACTGCCACTGGACCGGGATGGGACCCTGGTACGGCTCCGCTTCACCCTGGTGGCCCTGGTCACGGTCTGCTGTCCACTTGTCGCCTTCCTCTTCTGCATCCTCTGGTCCCTGCTCTTCCACTTCAAGGAGACAACGGCCACACACTGTGGGGTAGGGCATGGGGACACTGATACCTCATATTCAGGCTGATCTGGATCTTCTTTAGATCTTGAATCTCTTTTAACAAGATTAGCCACCTCTCTATTGGGGCCCACATACGGGGCTTCTGGGGGGATGCCTGCAAATTGATATCTCAAGGGTTAGTCTCCCTCTGCCTTCTGGAGGCTGGAGTCACCGAAGTGGGCAGACCTAGAGCCAAATCCTTACTTTATAGAACAGCAGATTCTGGAACCCCAGGGTTTTCTGGGAAGTGGAGAGAGAAAAGGATTGGGCTATAGAGTATTTTGGATCTCTTAATGTAGCACTGTGCACTTGTGCCTGTCTCTGTGGGAATGTGATTCAGTATATGTGTGGGTGATTGTGAGGGGCATGGCAGTATATAATGGCTTTGAGTGGGGTATGTGTGTGAGAGATACTATATCTGTGCCTGTCTGCATGGAGATCTGATTGTGTACATGTGTACATGTCCTGGGGTGAGTCCCATGCCCTCTGAGGTTCCATAGATATCTGTGTACCCTCTGGACAGGGATACAGGGTGCTGGGCCAGAAAGAAAAATGTAAGATTACTTTCTCTAGGATATCAGAGTAAATGGGGTGGGACATGTGTCAAACTCTGTAGTGCTCCTAATTCATTGACTGACTCTGCATTACCTGAGACACAGAGACTCAGCCTCAGTTTCCTTATGTCTGAAATAGAATTAATTAGCTGGGCATGGTGGTGTGCATCTGTAGTCCTAGCTCCTCGGGAGCCTGAGGTGGGAGGATCGCTTGAGCCTAGAAGTCTGAGGCTGCAGTGAGCTGTAGTTGTCCCACTGCACTCCAGCCTCATGACAGAGTGAGACCCTCATCTCTAAAAAATAAAATAGAGTTGATACTTCCTGTCCTACTCCTTCCCAGGGCTAGTGTAGAGCTCTAGGTACAGGAAGGATGGGAAGGTAGTTTAGGGAAGATGAAGTGTGAGGAGCAGAAGGAGGAGGAGGAAGAGACTGTCAGGTTGGAAGGCAGGAAATGATCTTAGCCTAGGTGCTCTTGGTGAAGAAGAGGCAGATTCTACACATGGACCCTTGAGCTCCCTCAGAGTTCTGAAGGCCCCTAGCTAGCTGAATCCCCCCTTCCTATAAAGAGCATCTGCTTCAGAGAAATGGCTAGGACTAGCAGTGGGGTCTAGCTGCGATATGGGGTGGAGCCCCACTTTTTTTTTTTTTTTTTTTTTTTTGAGGAGTCACACTCTGTTGCCCAGGTTGGAGTGCAGTGGCATGATCTTGGCTCACTGCAACCTCCGCCTCCCGGGTTCAAGCAATTCTCCTGACTCAGCCTCCTGAGTAGCTGGGATTATAGGCATGCACCACCATACTCGGCTAATTTTTGTACTTTTAGTAGAGACGTGGTTTCACCATGTTATGAGGTGGGTGTCAAACTCCTGAACTCGTGATAGCCTGCCTCAGCCTCCCAAAGTGTTGGGATTATAGGTGTGAGCCACAGAGCCTGGCCCAAGGGTGGAGCCCCACTTCTTTTCTTTATGCGACTGGAAGTTTCCCTTCCTCCTCATTTGTCAGTGGGTAGACAGGGGTGTTGAGGTATGGACACCCAATCTGATGAGACCCAGGGCTGGGAGCTATCAGAAATGACAAAACCAGAAGAAAGGGGTGACTAGGTGATCTGAGGGGGAGGATTACCCTTTCCTGACCTAGTGTTTATCTCAGATAATGTATCAGATGTACCTGTTACCCTAGCCACTCCTGATCACCATGCAAAACCCTGCTCATCTAGCTCCAAAATGTCTCGATATCCTCCGTGGAGATAACTTAATCACTCCCTCCTCTGGGTGCTCACAATTCCCTATGTTATCTCTCTGTCACATCATATTTGTGTCTGTCTTTCCCACCAGATGAGGATCTCCTTGAGGAGACACTGCATTTGAGTGAGAAAGTATTTGGGTTTTTTTGTTTGTATTAGAGGCAGGGTCTCATTCTGTTGCCCAGGCCATAGTACAGTGGTGTGATCATAGCTCACTGCAGTCTCAAACTCCTGGGATCAATCAGTCTTCCTAACCTCAGCCTCCTGAGTAACTAGGACTGCAGGTGTGAGCCACCACACCCAGCTTGCCCGCCTCGGCCTCCCAAAGTGCTGGAATTACAGGCCTGAGCCACCGTGCCCAGCCAACACACCCAGCTTAATTAAAAAAGTTTTTTTGTGTGTGGAAATGGGGATTCACCATGTTGCCTAGGCTGGAGTGTAGTGGCATGATCATAGCTCACTGCAGCCTCAACCACCAGGGCACAAGTGATCCTCCTTCCTCAGCCTCCTGAGTAGCTAGTATTATAGGTGTGCACCACAATACCCAGCTAATTTTTGTGTATATGTGTGGAGACGGGGTCTCACACTGTTGCCCAGGCTGGTCTTGAACTCCTGACCTCAAGTGATCCTCCCACCTCGCCCTCTCAAAGCACTGGGATTATAGACGTGAGCCACTGTGCCTGGCCAGAAAGTGTTTGTTGAATAAATGATTAGGACTCCCTAGCCCAGTACCCTGGGGAAAGGAAGGCATGGTATAAGTCAATCATAGTCCAAGCAATATTATATTTGTATGGCATATGGAGTTAAACAGACTAGGCTATTTGTTCTGTCCCTTGTGGCTGACGCCGAGGGCTAATAGGATCAATAACCTATTAGCTAGGTTATTGCATACCTTGCATACCTATTATCTGTTCTTGGCATACCAGTTAGGGAATTAAGATATAGATAGTTGCTGGAGTACTTGGTCCCCCTGGAGCAGTACTAGGTCTGTGACCATGAGGGTATGTTGTCACCACTCCCTGGGACTACAGTGTTGATTCCACCTGGGAATGTTGTTTTTTTTTCAGATGGAGGTTTACTCTTGTTGCCCAGGCTGGAGTGCCATGGAGTGATCTTGGCTCACTGCAACCTCCGCCTCCCGGGTTCAAGCGATTCTCCTGCCTCAGCCTCCCGAATAGCAGAGATTATAGGCATGCGCCACCATGCCCTGCTGATTTTGTATTTTTATTAGAGACGGGGTTTCTCCATGTTGGTCAGACTGGTCTCAAACTCCTGACCTCAGGTGATCTGCTCGCCTCGACCTCCTAAAGTGTTGGGATTACAGGCTTGAGCCACTTCGCCTGGAAATTTTTATATTTGCTCTGAATTTCCCACTCAGAGTATCCCAGAAATGGCCAGCCCTAGGAATAAAAGAAGCAAGCTAATCTAACATATCTATAATTGATTACTTTGCCTCTGCTCACATATTCCCAGTGATGGGGAGCTTCCTTCCTCCCCAGGTAGCCTCTTCTAAGGAAGCTTAATAACTAATAATTAGCAAGCTTTTTTCTTTCTTTCTTTTTTTTTTTTGAGACAGAGTCTCACTATGTTGCCCAGGCTTGAGTGCAGTGGCATGATCTCGGCTCACTGTAACCTCTGCCTCCTGGGTTCAAGCAATTCTCCTGCCTCAGCCTCTCGAGTAGCTGTGATTACAGATACCAGCCACCATACCTGGCTAATTTTTATATTTTTAGTAGAGACGGGGTTTCACCACCTTGGCCAGGCTGGTCTCCAACTCCTGATCTCAGGTGATCCACCTGCCTCGGCCTCCCAAAGTGCTAGGATTAAAGGCATGAGCCACTGTGCCCAGCCTCCTTTTTTTTTTTTTTTCCCAAATAGAGATGGGGTCTCACCATGTTTCCCAGGCTGGTCTTGAACTCCTGAGCTAAAGCGATCCTCCTGTTTCAGCCTGCAGAGTACTAGGATTACAGGTTTGAGCCACTGTGCCTAGCCCAAGCTTTTTCTTTCTTTGTTTTTTTGTGAGACCCCTGTCTCGCTGTGTCACCCAGGCTGGAGTGCAGTGGTATGATCTTGGCTCACTGCAACCACTGCCTCCTGGGTTCAAGCCATTCTCATGCCTCAGTTTCCTGAGCTGCTGAGATTACAGGCATGCGCCACCACGCCCAGCTCATTTTTTAGTAGAGACGGAGTTTCACTATGTTGGCCAGGCTGAAGCTTTTTCTTTTTGTTTTTTTTCTTTTTTTGAGATGGAATCTTGCTCTGTTGCCCAGGCTAGAGTGAAGTTGTGCAGTCTTGGCTCACTGCAACCTCTGTCTCCTGGGTTCAAGTGATTCTCCTGCCTCGGCCTCCCGAGGAACTGGGAGTACAGGTTCCTGCCACTGCACTTGGCTAATTTTTGTATTTTTAGTAGAGACGGGGTCTTGGCCAGGCTGACATTGTGATCCACCCGCCTCGTCCTCCCAAAGTGTTGGGTTTATAGGCGTGAGCCACTGCACTGGGCCTGAAGCTTTTTCTTTTTTTCTTTTTTTTTTTTTTGAGATGGAGTTTCACTCTTGTTACCCAGGCTGGAGTGCAATGGCACGATCTCCGTTCACTGCAATCTCCGCCTCCTGGGTTCAAGCAGTTCTCCTGCCTCAGCCTTCTGAGTAGTTGCAACTACAGGCATGCGCCACCATGCCCAGCTAATTTTTGTATTTTTAGTAGAGACGGGGTTTCACCATGTTGACCAGGATGGTCTCGATCTCTTGACCTCGTGATCCACCCGCCTCGGCCTCCCAAAGTGCTGGGATTATTGGCGTGAGCCACTGTGCCCGGCCTCTTTTCTTTTCTTTTCTTTTTGAGACAGAGTCTCGCTCTTTCGCCAGGTGCTAGGCTGGAGTGCAGTGGCGCAATCTTGGCTCACTGCAACCTCTGCCTCCCAGCTTCAAACAATTCTGCGTCAGCCTCCTGAGTAGCTGGGACTACAGGTGCGCGCCACCACACCCAGCTAATTTTTGTATTTTAGTAAAGACAGAGTTTCACTATGTTGGCCAGGATGGTCTCGATCTCTTGACCTTGTGATCCACCCACCTCAGCCTCCCAAAGTGCTGGGATTACAGGCTTGAGCCACCGAGCCCGGCTGAAGCTTTTTCTTACAGTGAGTATGTGCTTACTTTCCAGTGAATCTCTGCCTTGGCCCTGGCTCTGCTTTGATA